TAGGTGCCCATTATGTATTTACTACCCTTATTCGGTTCACAACAATCTTAATACCTGCATTTGGACTGTCTCCTTATCCGGATTCTTTATTAGTTTCTTCTTTACTTCCAGTTGGCAACCCAGAAGAGTCAGTCTGCCTAGGCTTTAGGTGCCTGAAGAATGCTCTCTCCTTGGTTCATACTTTCGGAGCATATACCCTTTTCCTCTAGTGCGACAACCTGGCAGTTTAGCTAATGTGTTCTCTGTTAGCAGATCTGGTTGCTTGGTTCTCCAATCTTAGACCCTAGTTCAAATTCAGCCCTCCTGTGATACCGTTAAAGATCACTGCTATCTCCAAATTCAGGACTTGCCAAATAGGTTTTCAGTTATACTGATTTCTTGGATTTATTGTGCCAAAGCTCCCATTACTAGATAGTGTGACCAAAGTTACAAATTAGTTTTTGATCCAACCGATAAGCATAGCCATCAACCGAACACAGGCCCATTTTTCAAATATCGTCACCAATGGGATTTGAACTCTAGACCTGCTACTTGGAGAAAGTGACGACTTTATAATATTTTTTATATTTGTATATCATTTGTGAATATATATGCATTTATAATTCATACTTCAGCTATAAATTAAAGCTAATTAGGCTCAAGAAAATAAGCCTTAACTTTAGGCTATACTCAAAGCGATAAATTTAGTTCAGACCTAACCAATTTCTAACTATGGCTTCGAATTAAGCCATCCTGTAGTATAGGTTAAAAAAAATTAAAAAATTATATTTCGTATAAGCTATGGCTCAAAGCTACAGATCTGGTCTAAACCTAATTAGCTTCAATTTTGGTTACACAGGTCGAAAGATAAAAAATCAGGCACAAATCAAATATCTGATTTTAAACTGATTACTACCTGAGTACCACCTTATTTATGTATATTTTTGTACCAAAAATTTGGTACAAAAATATGCATAAATCAAGTAATAATCAGGTAGTAATCAGTTTAAAATCAGGTATTTGATTTGCGCCTGATTTTTTATCTTTCGACCTGTGTTAGAACTAGTTTCAAATTTAGATACTCCATAGTATGAGTTAAGAAACTAATTTATACCACACATAACTAGTAAAGTAAAATTGATTAAAGATGTATTTAACTGTTTGGCTAAACTTCTATTATGATGTTAAAGCCTCAGAGATTCAGATTACAAAAAAAAAAAAATTAAATAGATGGAAAGTAATAAATGATATGTTTAAAAAATATATAAATAGTTTAAAAAGATCAATAAAGATAAATTTATTATCGGGTTAAAAATAATATGATAAGATTCTTTACCTTAATATTGTTAAAGATCCAATAAATTTGTGTTAATCATATTTTTTTAAAAAAAAAAATTTATTTAACTCTCACCAAATAATCCAATCATCTTGTTTCTAGTTATATGAAATTGTTAAATTTAATTAAAAGTTCTCTTTTTACTACTATTAAAAAAATAAATTACTTGTTCATGAAAGATTTCAAACCTGTACCATGCAAGCATACATTAATATTGAAGAAGGTGAACTTATAGTTGACTATACAGATGAAACATTTAATTCCCACCAGGTTTTACTTATCCTGACATGAAGCTTCATAATTACCACTGAACAGGATTTTGGTGTTCTTTAGAAAAAGAAGTGGGCAATAGATATACTGCTAAATGTATTTACTGCAATATTGAAATGGCTAGCAGACCTGAAAAACTTCACACTCATGTTCTTTTGTGTGATAGTTGGTCTGTTATTAAGAAAAATTTCTATATTAAAAAACTAGCAAGTTTTATTTCCAATTCATGTAAAAAAATCAAAAAAACTGATCAAGAATCACTTATGTATGTAACTAGAGATAAGTTCAATTAGTTATTTCCTGTTAATAGTTAACAAAAAATAACCAACCAAATTTATCTCTATATAATAGCAATTTTTATTTTTTTTTTACTAAAGCTAATAGAGACTTTTGTAGCGATACTGATGGTTTATCCTCTTTGATTGTTAACTATCAAAAAAATTTAACAGATTAGCATATCAAGCCAATTTCACAAGAAAAGCAAACTAGAATAAATAAAAGTTTGCTTAATGCTATTATCTATAGTAACCTTTCTTTTAAGGTTGTTGAGAATCCCTATTTGCTCAACTTTCTTACTGAATTGGCACCGAACTATAATCTCCCTCTGCTAATATGTTGTATATAAAAATTCTCAACAATTCGTTTTTAACTTACCTAAGCAAAAAGTTTGAAGTGATGGAATCTCTTTCTGATATTATTATTGCCTTAGATGGATAGCAAGACATATCTCGAAATTCTATATATAGTTTTATGGCTTTAAAAGAGGATCAAGAATATGTCTTAGATATTATTGATTTATTTGCTAATTGACATATATCAGCTTTTCTCAAAGAGCAGCTTGAAAAAATACTTAACTCGAGTTCTATTTCAGTTAATTGCATGCATAACTGATAATCCTAATGTCATGAATTGAATGAAAAATAACCTTAAAGAAGATCACCCAAATATTATTTCTATTTGCTGCTACCTCCATTTTTTTAATCTACTCGCAAAAGACATTTCTGCCTTTTCATTCTTAGTTATGGTTATTAAAGCTTATTAATTTTTTTACATCATCTTATATTTGGCTTTGTGCTTTACAAGAATAGCAGAAGAAAGAATGACTATATTACTCACTTACAACATTTTGTGAGACTAGATAGTACTCTCTTGCAGAAGTCTGTTTGGGCATTAAAGCCTTTGAAAAAGGCTTTTATTACTGTATCGACCTTAGTAAAACCAGAAATTATTCTACAATAAGAATAGAAATTCAAAATATAATCACCAACTGCCACCACTTTGCAAACAACAACACATTAATAAAAGTATTTATCTTTGTCATTGATACTATTGGTCACCTTGAGTCAAGAGATTCCACCTTAGCAGATATCTTTAAAGAACTAATTAGCATTTATTATATTATTTCTACTGAAAATATTTCAATCAATAGGTTCAAAAATTATACCTTGGCAGCTCTTGATAAACGGACATGTGAATTTTCTGATCAGATTTACTTCGTTTTTTTTTTCTTATTACCTAGCCACAAACAAATAGCAATATCAAGACAAATGTCAGGTAATTTAATTGTTAGAGTATCCTTGAAGTTGGCAAATGCCTGGGGTTTTAACAAAAAAAAAACAACACTTTTATTTAAAGAACTTATCAGTTACAAGAATGGCAATGTTTTTTTTGAAAATCAATATCCTGAAAATATTAATTCTTGAATTTTCTAAACCAAGTTCACAGAAGGTTTCCCACTTCTCTGACATTTTGCCATGAAGGTATTTGCAATTGTTTCACATTTAGCATCTGTTAAATATTTGTTTTCTAGTTTGGGACTAGTCAAAACAAAGTTACGAAACAGAATGTCTCTTGCTTTAATGGGAATGCTTGGAATGCTTTGCTATAATTTTTAACAAAAACTACTTAAAGTGTTAAAAGAAAAAGCTAAAGTAAATAAATATGAGAATATAAATAGTGAAGATGCCGACATTAATCTTTTTAAGGAAGAACTTAACAATGAATTTTTACAAATTAATGTTGAGGCAATAAACATGGAAATGAATAATAAATTGGCAATAGAATAGTTTTTTGATATCAGAATGTTTGAATGAAATCAAAAAGATATAATTGAAAATGATCAAATTATTAATTCTCAAAGATCTACTAGTAATACTAATGAAGATTAGTTGGTTGATGATATCTTCTTCCAATATAATACTATGTTTGAATAGATTTACAAAAATCTATATAAGTTTTTTTTTATTTTAGTATATAATATTATCTTGATAATAATTAATAAAAGTTTTTATTATAGTCTCAAATTTGTATAAAAAGTGAATTCTAATCTCAAATAAAGTAAACCCGGTAAAATTTAAAATTTGAAAAAGTAAAAAAGAAGTTTAGTAATTTAGTAATAACTTTGTAAAAATCTTCGAGTATGTGAAAAAGTAAACATATATAAAGCCTAAAGTATAAAGTAAATCTTGTAATAAATTCATATAGTACTTTAGTAAGAATTAAATATATAAATCAGTCAAGCTTTTAGTGATTATATAACCTAAAAATACCTGACTAAAACCTATAGTTTAGATCATGAAACTAATATATTTTACTATTTGTTTAAGAGATCTTGACAAGATTTAAAAAAATATATATAAGTTTAGATAGATTATGAAAATTTAAATACATATACTGTTCAATTATAAAATAAACTCTCTTCGTCAATCACTAAAACCAAATCTGGAGCTAAAGAAAAAACAAAGGTTAACAGTTCCTTTGTTAAAACAACAATAGAACTAGCTATAAGCTAAAGAATAAAATACAAAAAAACAACTGGAGTTTCTTAGAACAACTTTGATCACTACACTCTCAAAAACACACTTCTTGGAAAATTTTTAGACCTTTAGAAAAATTTTCAAAACTTTTCTAAAAATTTGGGGATTTACTGTTGATCCTGTATTGCAGATTGCAATCTGACAAACAAACAAACACGTCCACTTTAGGCAAACAAACAAACAAACCAATATTTGTAGACATTTAACCAACACAACAAACAAACACGTGTATTATCAAAACAACAACAAAAACAAATACTACGCGTAAAATGCCTAACCTTAGTATATACAAAAACTTCTTTAATAAATCTGAAACTGAAAGAGCAGTAGTTCAAGAAGAACAAAATGAATTTATATGGGAACAAGATAAAAAAGTTGCAAAATTTTTGGGTACAAGCGAAGTCTATCTTATTACAATTATACACAATGTTTTACAACACTTCGACTACGCTCAATACAAGTTATCAAGTGATCAAATACTAGAAGAAGAGGAAAAAGTCCTACTAGATTTCCCAACTAACAATTCAACACAAGTAAAGAATACAAAGGAAAACTACTCACAAGAAAGCAATATTAGAGTTAAAATCGAACCTTCTTTAATGAAGGACTTAATTGTATATCCATCTGTGTTCTACAAAGCAACCAATATCGATACGGAATATGAGAGTAAGCTCAAGATAGTGCCAAATAGAAATGAAGTTAAAGTGGAGCCGCTTCTAATGGAAACTACTCTAGCAACACTATTTATTGAAACTAAGAGCACCATTAACAACATAGAATTAGAAATACAGGACAACCCTCGTAAGAGGAATATGGCAGAACAAGAAGTACCAACACCTACCCCAAAAGAACACCAGGAGCTAGTTAAGGATATACTAGTTAAAAAAGAGTGTGGTATTTGTGATTACGGACTGGAAGAACTCATAAAAGAGGAACTGCAAACAGATGCAAAATCATCTAAGCAACTAAGTCACAAGAGATCTAAACAACATGAAGATATACACTACGCAGCCTGGGCCCCAGTAAACAAAATCTTGCATCCAAAAGTCTCTAATTCACCTACTTTTCTCTTCACAATCTGGGACCTTCCAAAAGATATGAAGGCATCAGTAATAAAGTCTTATTTGAATATCTTTGGTATAGCAACTGTTATAGCATGGCAACAGAATTTCAGAACGAAGGCAGCATGTATTAAAATGGTACCAAATTCAGAACAAAGAGAAAAATCTCTAAAAGAAGGGTGGTCAATTAATTTAGAACAAGGTAAAACATACAGAACCACACTAGGCAAGTTCAATATTGTAGAAATAGAAACAAGAAACAACTACAAAGGCACTATTTCAAATATTCCAACATTAGCATATAATAGCCTTCTCTTACGACAGCTTAAAAAGTATAGAGTCCAAGCAGTTCATATTCTCTATAACCGAAATGGAAATCAAAGGAAAAGAGCCCATCTATATTTCAAATCAGAGGAGGATCTCTTATTAGCCCAAAGCTGCATCTTATACTACTTTAATACCAGACTCAGATAGCACCTAGCTACAGAAGACCCAAACAGAAAAAATCCCACATACGGTATTTTTCAGTATAAAAACGAAGATAATAACCAAAACAAGGAAAAAAGAGTAAGATATGAAACAGAAACATATAAAGAAAAAAACCTACCCAAGGGCATGTGTACTAAACAGCCAGATGAGACTAGAAGTCTTAATTTTATCTATAGTGCTAACACAGACAATAGTAAAACTAATAGCATTCGCAGACCTCGAAGCAAAAACAGAAAACCACTTAAAAACCTAGAAAACATAACAGCTACGGGTTCGAACAAGATAGAAATAAGCAAAAAAAGAGAAAAGCAAAAAGAATACAAAACTAGAATGCCCCAGAATGAAAATCGCTACAAAAAGGCTAGACCGCATAGTTCAGAATACATTAAGCCAAGAGTTAACTTCACAGATAAAAGTGAAACGCAAAGCAGCATGTTGGAACAAATCTTGAATAGGTTACAAAAGATCGAAGAAAAACAGGGGACTCCAGTCCCTAACTTCTCCTAAGGGCGCCACAGTTGTATTAACAAATTCAGACAAGCAACACAGCTTGTTGAGGCGAACACAACTTAAGATAACTAACAATGCCCTCATAACTAATAAAGAATTAGAGCTAGCACCAGAAAATATAAAACAAGACAATAGAATAGAAGAAAGTTTTGAACAAGTAAAAATAGGCTTTTATAATATTAATGGTCTTAAGGGAAATAGAACAAAATTGCAAGAGCTGATAGACTATAACGTCGAGGAAAATTTAGATATGATAGGAATAACTGAAACAAACATAAGTACAAGAGAAGTGGTGTTCTTTAAGGTTAACTGGCAACACTATAGAGCTTTCTGGACCAAAGATATTATAGAAAAAATAAAAAGCTCTGGGGTAGAACTACTAGTAAGAAAAGAGTGGCAAACACATCTCACTGAGATAATAGCAAAAGATGCTTATTTATTAAAGGTGGTATTTAGATTTAAAAAAATAATACTAGTTATATGGGTAGTTTATTTTCCGCCAAGCGATAAAAGTGCAAAAAAAAGAATACAACAGTACCTAACAGAAGATATCACCAAAAGCAAACTAAACACAAAAATAGTTATAGGAAGTGATTTCAATACAGAATTAGATGTTGGAGCAGGTACTACCCAGAACATTAAAATGGGAGAGGTTACACAAAAGAACAAATGTTGCAAACTCCTGATTATAAGATGGCTACAAAAAGTAGGCTATATATCCTTATTAATCTACAGATCTTCAAAGCAATATGGGCCAACTCCAAATCCTGCTCAAAAATAGACCATATATGGTTAGATACAGAATTAAAAGAACTTGTGATAAATAGTGATGTAGAACCGATGGATCTCATCACGGGTAGTGATTACAACCTGATATGGTCAAAACTACTGCTAAGCCCCATACTCCACGTAAACTCAATCGCCCAGCAAAGACGAAAAAATTTTGGTCATCATAAAGTATATCTATATGATAAAATGATTGAAAAGGATTGGGAAAATTTTACTTCTCTTCTAGAGAAGTATATTGAGAAATTTTGTAATAAAGAATCGAAAAGAGAAATTAAAATACCTGGTCTGTCAAAAGAAGACTGGATAAACAAAGTATGGGAAAAATTAGCAGAACTAATAAACAAAGCTGCAAACAAAACA